GAGAGGAATGTTCCGATCATCTCTGAGGCAATCTTCGGCATAGACATGTCAGTGACAGAAATAGCGCCGAAACAAGCATTCACTGCTAGCCACGCAAAAGTGCCAGACATAGCAGAAGAAGTGTGGAGTAACTACTGAGGCAATGAGAAACAGCTAGAACGTATTCTCATCAGAGAAGAGGTAAGTTACTATTTCACAGCACTGTTGTGGCTAAAGCTCCTAGAGATGAAAGGGAAAGAGGGAAACAATGTCTTGACGAGCACTGAAAGAGGCATCAGGAAAGCAACTATCGATGATGTCTTTAATGTGCCACAACCATATTTTGCGTACTTGAAGGAAATCAGAACGTACAGCGATAAAATGGGAAAAGGGATGGAACTTCATATCCCAGCTCTTCCTGTCACCGTTGTACAAAATTTCGGTGGATATCATGCAAACGCACTCAATGTGGAAACACACAATTTGTTTGAAGAAGTACCATCCATGGGTATAGCTGGAGACATGGTAATGGCTTTGTGCTTGCCAAATTTTCATGTAGCTAGAAGGAGCAGTCTTCACAAACAATTTAGCTGGAAGATTCTACCCAATTGGCAAGAGACCAGAAATTAAGCAATGACTTAGTGGTTTCGGTATAACGATCAATCTGATGAATTTGTACCAGGTACAAAGTTTAATTTAAAATACCTGCACAATTTATCGGACATAGTTGGAAAGCTAACTTTCAAAAACCTCACAACTGCAGAGGGAGAATCACAAGCGATTAAAACAAAACCAGTGGATGGCTGCACAGGACAAAGAAATCCGTACAACCAACGTCAGCAGCCATGAGTTCACGAGCTCAAATGGGTGCAGCATATTGCTTCGGATTTCATCTCTACAAAGAGGATGGACCAGGAGAAAGCCATACAGCTAAATCAATGAACTGAAATTGTATAGCTCTTAGAACTACACTGTCTTGGACAATGCTGCTCGATTGGTACAACAATTGAAACGAGCGATGAGACCTGCCAGCAGGAATAGGAACTGATAGGTTCTGAGCTATCTCAAGTAGACAAGACATCTATTTAGGAAATGTCTTAAGACACATGATTAAAACTCCACGCTAAAGAGATAAACTCAACAGGGATATAAACTTGGTGTAAGGACTAGACCTACATGAACCGAGGCCATGGCGAGTAGCAATGAGGGTACAGTTCATAGTTACTATGTTTTCATTATGTAAAACCAAACTTACTCAAATATACTGGTATATATATATATATATAGAGAGAGAGAGAGAGAGAGAGAGAGAGAGAATGAAGGGGTTAATTTTACTTCAATGAGAAAGAAAAAAAAAAAGAGGATGTGCAGCTAGAGTTAAAAATTTGACTTACAACAAATTTGAGACCTGTGGCTTTGTGACGCGGGTAAAGTAAGTAAAGCTATCCCTGTAACAGGCCGTGAAGGCCCATAGGGTTGTGAGATGTTGAGGGTCCCACATTTTCTAGACAATCGGCTCAAAGATGGCAGTAAGGTTGTCAGCCTTACGTGCCAGCTGCGCTTTACTCTCCAGGAAAATAATTTTTAATTAATTCCTGGTACTCATTTCTGTTAGAGGCTGAGTCGACCCCAGGGCCATAGTGCGGCTGGAAGAATTAAGTAAATTGAAAAAATCCAATGACCTCATTGGGACTTGAACCTGTGACCTTCCGGCTTGTAGCATAGTGCCTCAACCAACTATGCTACCATGTGCCCCCTTGTGCAATGGGTTCTGGTGTTAATATTTTAATGAAATCAGCAAATGATGAGGTTATGAACTTAACTAGGAGGGATGCAATGGTATTCTGGAGAGGTCCTAATGATGTGAGCAAGAATAACTCTGAGATTGGATTAAGACACATTATAAATTTTGTTAAAGACAATAGTGATACCAACATAATCCTGTTGAATGTTCCACTCATTATGACTTGATGAAATCTTGTGTAAACAAGGAAATTACTATGTTCAACCAAAAATTATCTAAATGCATTCAAATATATGAATACTCTATGCTCTTAAATATACTATACCTTAATAGGGGACCTCTTACAAACCATGGACTCCACTTAAACGGGTTACGTATATATGTGACTTTTAATCAGCTTGTTTCTCATATTAATGGACAGCTATTAGAAGAGGCTGCAATTTCAGTTGGTTTAGGTTGGAAAATTGAACCTTCTAACTTGATTCTAGATGAAGGTTCTACTGCTGCAACAGAAAGCAGCATAGAAGTAACAAGCCCAATAAAATTAAATCTGAGTCATCTTTCAGAGAAGCCTGAACCAACTTCAACGAAAAAAACAGTAGGAAATAGAATGTCTACTAGACAAAGGAGAACTCCTTTAACAAGAAATGAGGATTTTTTTATGGAGAAGCACACTTCTGGCTCAGCTTGTAACTTCAGGACTAATAGTTTTAGACATATTAAAATAATACTTCCAGACCAAATGCTGAATCAAACCAAGATCATTTGAGAATCCACATTCAGTCTTATGACAACAACAGATTTTTACTATATTCTTCTGATAATAACTCACTAAGTTCCTTGTATCCTGAACTGCCATATTTGTCATGTTTAAGGGAACATCACCTAGATTACCCGGACTTAGATCACACTTATATAGAGCATTACAATCTTGGTGCTAAATATTGCAGACAACATCTTAGACAAGGTGCAGTATGTATTTTGTACACGAAAAATTAAAATTTTCAAATGTTAACTTAAATGAAATTTTTTAAAGAGCAAGACTTAGAAGTCTGTGCAGTTAAACTTCAACTTCCATTTGGCAATATCTGTATTCTATCCATTTACAGAGCTCCACCTGGTAATGGCTTAGATGACATTCTAAAATCCCTATATAATATTGATTTAGAATTTATTATCTATGGCGATATAAACATAAATTATCTTGTTGACAATAATAGGAAAAAACAATTACACACCTTATTATCTCTTTTAACCTCTCAAGTACAGTGCACTTTCCTACTAGAATCCAAAATAATTCAATCTCTACAATTGATAACATTTTTATTGATCTTAAGAGAAGTGGAAATTATACCATAAGTCTGCTTGCTAATGGTCTGTATGATCATGATGGCCAGATTATATACGTAAATAATAGCAACTTACAAACACATACAGTTGCACTCCTCTATGAATGAGTTTTTGATCCAATTAAGTTATGAAACTTGGAAGAGTATTTTCATGATCAGGATGTTGATACAATATTCAATTCCTTTCTTAATACTTATCTAAGAATACTATTCTCTAACTTAAAAAAAAAGTTATGATTAAAATTAAATATAATCCCTCGATCATAGGTGGTATAATGATTTCATATCAGCACAAACAGAGCTCTATTTAACTCTTAGGAATAGTAATGAACCAAATCTAAAATATCATTATAAAACATACTGAAAAATTTTGGCCAATTTTATTAAAGCAGCTAAAATCTTCATTATAATACACATAATTCTAGTAACAAAATGAAAACCACCTGGAGCATTATAAAGTCAGTTACACATAGAAAAATTAATAATGCAGGTATACAGTTTACAAACACTGACGGGAAATTAACTGATAATCATCATATGATTACAGAATGAATGAATGAATGAATGTGTAATAAATATAATAATTCTATTACAAGCAACAGTACATACAAAAATATATAAGTTACAGAAGATATAAGGAATTATAACTGAAGGCTTAAATTGTAAATTATGAAAGAAAACCCTTCTAAATGTCCCAACTCAAAACTTGATTACCAGGAATGATGAATTGGCAGGAATGTATCTTGAAGAGATGAAGACATCACTATCAGAGATAATAAGAATGAAATTTTAAACCTTTTCAAAGGCATACAAGGAAGATAACATACCTGAGAGACCTGTAAACATGTGTATAACATGTAGGACTTAATTGGATGAAAATGTCAATTTGACTACAGAACTCAAAATCAACATACAGCACTATTTTATTATATAATTTTAAATTAAAGTAGCCTCTCAAATAATTATTTGATTAAGCAGTACATAAACTGTTGTGCATGTAAGTAAATTTTATATTTTCTGGAATAAAATATCTGCACAAGCCTTTCTGTCTAGTCATTATAAAAAAAAACTCTGTGGTTTTAGTCTGAAGTGAACTATGCAGACCAAGGGACCGCCCCTTGTCAGCGTCATTAGTGCCAACTTTAGCGGATAGAGGGTGCTGTGTGGTCAGCGCAACAAATCACCACAGCCATTAATTTCAGTTTTCTAGACCGGAGCAGCTATTTCCTTGAAACAGCTCCTCAATTATCCTCATGAGACTGAGTGGACCCCGTTCCAGACCCACTACTTCTCAGAAAATCTGGTAGCGCCGGGAATCGATCCCAGCACCTCTGGATCTGTAGCCACAAACTCTGACCACTAGACCACAGAGGTCAGGTGGTCTTGTCGCTATAAATTCATTATTAAAATTAATTTCATTATGAACAATGAAATTCTCTATAAATAACATTTGTTGCATTCATTTTCAGCAAACATGAGCACTGAATTTTTCCTCCATATACTTCACTTCTGTAAGGTCTTTTCTTCTGGTTGTATATGACAATATATCATAACAGTAGTCTTTTTATTGGAACTGGGGTAGCGTAGTCAGTATAGCGACTGGCTATGGGCTGGGATGGCCAAGGGGTCGGAGTTCGAGTCCCAGTGGGGCAACGATTTTCTCTTTTCCACATTGTCCAGACTAGCTCTGGGGTTCACCCAACCTTTTATCCAATGGGTACTGAGAGATCTTTCCCAAGGGGTAAAGTTGCCAGGACGTGAAGCTGAACACTCATCTCCAACTAGTGCCAAGGTCAAGAAAATGGGGATCTATACATCCACTCCTCTGCATGCCTTCATGGCGCAGTGCTCAGTTAGTTAAGCACGGGAACAACTTTACCTTTACTCTGTTTATTAACACAAATATTAAATAAATGATGGAGACTAAATTATGCACGCATATTTTATTTTATCTGAAGTTTCCAATTTTCGTTATTTTCTGTTCACTTTTCTAAAATGGATATACTGAACATGAATTCAAATCAAAAAAAGTTATACAGCAAGATGAACACTGCATAGTTTGGTATTCTGAAAGCTAACTTCTTTCAAACAAGAATCCATCCTCTCTGACATTTAACGCTGGTGGCACCTTCTTTCTGGAGGCAGAGGAGGGAGGCTTCAGTATAAAATTCTGCCCTTAATATAATTAAGCCATTTCTTCCCTTGCAAAAACATCACATTTCATTAATCTCACTATATTAATTTATTTAACAATGATGTGACACCTGCTCAGGTTACGTATCATACAATGAGAACCAAAGAGGAGCAGAAGCCACACATGCCCACAGCCTGTTTAAAAAATATGGGTATATATCAAAAAAAGATGCTAAATTTCAGCCTATAGTTAAGGATTATATTAAAGGAAAGAATTAGGGAGTTTCTTACATCCCCAGAAATGCTGGATGCTGAAAATCATAAGAAAGAGGATCACAGAAGCCCTCTCACTGATGAAAAGTCCCTGAGAAAACCTCAATAACTTTACAGGTTAAATTCTGATTAATGTATCCAGCAGATCATCAATCACTAGACTGACACATGATTTTAAAGCCGTATGGTCTACATTCAAGGCTCTTACACTACAATTACAAAAAGTGATCATTATTAATATAAGCTTGAAAGAAGTTTCTTGGTAAGTCAGAAAGTCCTTTGACACCTTACCTCAGCCAAAAATATACAATGGATGCACCTGAGCACTAGCAAGAGCTTTCCGACAAGTTGGACACTCCTTCCTCTTGCACACTACTTCTGTAATACAGGGAGTGCAATATACATGACCACACACAGTGGCAGATATTCCTCGCTTACTGTTTACTGCTTCCAAGCATATTGCACATTCCCACTCATGCCTGAGACCTTTTTGTGTTTCAGTCTTGTCTTCAGCAATACTTTTCTGCTTCTTTTCCCCATCTGAATCTGATACATTTGTTAAAATCTCTTCCTTCTGGAATATTTCTTTATCATCCTGCAAATTATGTGAAATTCCCAGTGTTCCCAATGCAGTGTCATGTACTGATGTCAGTTGTGGGATCACTTTCAATGGCACCAAATTCTCTTGATTATCAGGTTCAAAAGACTTCTCTTGAGAGTTACAATCTACACTAATGATATTCTTATGACTGTAGGCCACAAAGTTATTAGTGCTAGAACTTGAAATCGCTGGTTTCCACACACTTTCTTCATGCTCATGACCACCTTTCTTGTCAGGTAGCGTGGAACTACTGCCTGCATCAACTAAACTTGATGCAGAGAGAACATCTGATGAAGATGGATATGGAGATGCAACATTCTGTGATTTTCCATGAGGAACTTTAAAACTATGAACTGGAGAGGCTAATCTCTTCCGTGGCAATTCAAAACTACATACTGAGGACAAAGAGGATGGCGTACCTATGCTTTGAATTACTGTATTACAACTCAAATCATAAACACCATTTGGTAACACCTGAGGTGTAGGGGTTGGAGTTTGATGATGCATTTTGAGACATAAGGGTGTCACAGAAGTGGAAGCCTGAACACAAAACCCATTCGTAACAATATCATCATATGCTTTACTGCTTCTGTAATAAGGCTGCTGTGCATCACGTTTCAGTTCATCTATCAAGTTACCTGAACTATTTGGAATGACACACCCATTATATTTCTTTGAAGACTTTCGATCTGCAGTTTCAAACTTATTGTTCCTCGTAGGTTTGTCTGTATAATTCAGTTCTTTTTGTTGAACAGAATAATCTCTTGTACCTATATTTGACTTAGAAACACAATGAACAATTTCAATATCATCATTGTCTTCAGAACTATCACTAATATCATGAACACTGATCCCAGCATTTGTATCACCTATTACAGGGACTGACTTTTCATAATCATTGTTTCCATAACTGTTTTCTTCATCAAATAATGTATGTATATCATCAATACACACAGTAGCCTTCTCTCCTGAATGCTTCCTGCTATCTTTATTTATGTCTTGATCCACAACCCTATAATGGTTCATGACATCTTGTTCTTCTCTGCATGTCATTGGTACAATCCCAGACTTATAACAAGGAACTTTTGGAACATAACTGTTATCTTTGTGCTGAAACACTTTCTTTTCTATTGAACTTTCTCCTTCTTTAGTGTCCATTTCCTCTCCATGATATTGATGTCCTCTAACAGATTTATTTTCAGCAATTTGTTTATTAGAATTACCTTGGGATTTTTTGTACCTGCAATATGACTCTTGCTTTGATACTGCATCACCTTCTCTTTCTGCACCAATTTCAGAGTGTGGGGTCCTTCGTGTTATATGCTCTAAGTCGGGTTTGAACTGATGTAATTTGCTTTTAGGTACTAACATCCCTTGATCTTTCTTGGATGAATCTGATTTAATACAGTTCGTTTTACTCCCAACAAAATTATCTGCACCACCCTGCTTGTCATTATCTTGGAAAAATTCAGAGGAATTTGATTGCTGAGAAACTGAAGAGAACAATGTTTCAGTCTTTGCACAAGCATTCAATTGAAAAATATGAGAAATATCATTCTCATTAAACGTCACAGATGGAGGTGAGCCTGATTTTGGTTGAGCAATTTTCGAATGAATGTTAAATTCAGATCCTCGATGAGGTTCACTTCTATATGACCTTAATGACATGCGCAAAGCATGTGACTGCTTCTCAGCAAGCTTCGGCTCAATACCAAATTTTGAACTTGGATGAAGCTTATTTTCAAACAACTTCAGTGATGGGGTGAATCCAGTTTTGAACTGATGAACCACTGGACTGATGTCAAAAACCGGAGTTCGGAGGCAACTCTTTTCATATATCCCAACTGGTGTTGAAGATGATGAACATCTTTTTTGTGAATGTGAGTTGTTATGAAACAGACACCTATCTTCCCATGATCCTGAAGAAGGTGGAGGATCAAACTTAATTTGCGTGCCTGAGGTTCTGTTACCAGAAATTTCTGAAGATTCATAAACCACTTTGTTTACTGTCAAGCCATCACTTGATACAGGAAACACCTGAAAGTATGTAGAAGATGCTGAAGAATGACTGGCATGTGCTGCCTTGTCCTTTAAATTTGATATAGGCAATGTAAAATTTCCCTTTTGTGTCACAAGGCTGTGGCCTGTTCCACCCGATCTAAACTGCATATCTGCATCTGTGTTTCCAGACTTTTCTGAATATTCGGGAACTGATGCCTTCCTTGTTAAATCAAGGACACACAGAGGCTTGTCAACATCTGAAGCTATGCCACGCAATTCATCAAGGATACGAAAGTATTTCTGAGAAGAAGAGAAATTGGCCTGTGCTTTCTGGTTGTGGTCTGCAGTGTTTAAATCTGATATAGACATCTGACCATTTCCTTTTTGTACTAATGAGACATGACTTGTTTCACCTTCATGTGATGTGACATTACTTCCTACATGGTTTAAATAAGGATTTATGCATATAGTGTCCACATTACCATCATCAGCCCATACTGAAGAAGATTCACAAATCCTTTTTTTAACAGGTGTTGCATGTGAAATGTCTGCATCATGGTATGTTACTATATATGTATCTGTTTTCTTTTTCTGCTCTGTATTAGAGCCAGCTGAAGGTGGCAAAGATGCATGAAACCTTAAACCTTTCCTTTTCTTGAGAGGTATATCAAGTAATAAACTGGTATTAGATGCAACATTCTGATCTCTGGTTACTGACATACTCGCGATTTACACCAACTGAAACAGTTATGACTGTTTCTTCAGCATTAACAAAATGCTCAAAAAGTACTTGAACTTTTACAGCACAATGCTTAACTTCTTTTCCTCACAGCAGGCACAAACAATATTTGCTTCCAAATGTATGTTGTTAAAATGAAAATGATTCCTGAATTAGATACAGCATCAGTAGATGAAATCTGAAAAAGCATGGGAGAAAAAAATTAGCCAGATCACAATGACACAGTAAAACAACCTGTTTAACTAAATGGTTTTGACAGTGGTGTAACACTCAGACTGCTGGATTTTTCAACTTTGTCCATCATCTGGTATTCTAAAAAACACAAATGAATATTTATAAATGTTTGACAGTTTAGGTCTTGTTATTGTGGGGCACCCTCTCTGATGAGAGGATGGGTCTGTCTTTTGTCAGAGTCACTGTCTGCAGTAGTAAGTCACATGTCATAACGTAAAGGATATTTACATTTTACATGTTAAACATGATAACGAATGTAGTAAATATATAAAGGGCCTCTTGTCAGTCCAGGCTCAGCACAGCAGATTATGCCCTATTTCTAGCCACTTCTGCCACAACGGCAGTCTACTCACTTGAACTGTCGTATGCTTGACTGCCACCAAGTTTAAGCCTCTTATACTTTCTGTGTCGGGCTTCGCCTTGTCCAATGTTGCAAACATTTTTATTATCATGATTTTGTATGACTTCTGCTTGTTACCCGCATAATTTTGTTATATAGTCATATATGTACGGGATTTCGAATGCCATGTGCAAATCACGAATCAGTGTGCGCCTTGGAAAATGTCAAGAGTCGGAACTATAGAAAACATGTCACTGTCCATATTGTTGCAGGCTTTGCCTATCACCAGCTGTTTAGTCAGCTGTTGCTAGGCAGCAAATGGTTTCTAGCTTGCGATCTGCTAGCACACGATCCACCGTAGATGTTTCCCATAGTCACATATTGTTGTAAACCTTAAGCCTTGTCCAGACTTGTTGCGTATCCCTGTATCGTATCAGTGTGGACGGTACTGTAGCCATTTGCTTACACACTGGGCGCCACCTTCCCTCTCTAACCGTTTGCTTACACGTTAGGCTCCACCTTCCCTCTATAACCGTCCTTTTGGCCCCTTGGTTGCTGGTTGCAGCTGCTCCTCTAGCCGTTCCCTCTCACCTGTTGGTACGCCGAGTTTGCAGATTGCTGCTGTGTCCTTCTTATCCAGTTCTGCTACCCTTTTTGTTGTTGTGGATAACTGTTTGCAGGATATTTGTTACATGAATGCTGGGCGCCAGTAAGCTTACTATAAAGGCTTACTTTTCAGGAAAAAGGGGGGATGAACCGGAAACTAAAGGTGATAGGTACCTCATTCGCATTACAGCAATGAGATTCTGTCTACAGTACCCCGTATCATCCTTCCATTGCAAAATCTTGATACGGTGATATGCATCGGGCTGTTTGCTCACTTGGCGGTCTTTTCCCGTCGCATGAAAGGGACAACACGCGTTGCAGTGGTGCCAGTCCGGACGTTCACGCATTGCATCCCTACTGGCACAGATCAGTGATATCCACAAATGTTGTGATTTCTTTCTTCTTTCCTTTATAGTATAGTGAAGATAGATGTACACGGCCACTACCTTCAGGTTAGGTGTACTCATTGCTGATTGAAATCTGGCTCAAAACTGAGATTCAGCTCGTCATTTCTTTGTTGCCTTCTTGGGAAGAGAAATTCTGTTGCGTTGCATCGGGTGATACGCAATGGAGATATGGAACAAGTCTAGATGCAAAATTTTGTCATGTTGTATCGGATGATACGCAACAAGTCTGGACCCGGCTTTATATGGCAACTACTGTTTACTCACCGTTGCTAAGCAATGGCACCTGAGCTGTCACTGTAATGTTTGCTTGAATGTGGGCAGTTTCCACAATATAATACATTAAGAAACAGATCCAGAACACCAAACGATGGACAAGGTCCAAAAACCCAGTAATCCTGAACTTGTTTAACCTTTACAGCATACAACTTGCTGATATACGTGCTGGTTCAGTAGGCCACAGCATGCCTAGAATCCCATTATATACAATATAAATACCATTATCACCACACTTATGTAATTCCAAGCACTAGTCCTGTGGTGACAGGAGATTTAAATGCAGACAATAAATGTTAACATACATGAAGTCAAACTTTCAAATGGCACTCTTAGTATGTCAAGACACAAAAGCATATAACTTTGCCACTTGGTTTATTTAATAATGTATTCTGAACTGCATCACTTATACAGTATCAACAGAAGAATGACTGAATAACTGGATGGAAGCAGCCACTGCCTATTTCATGGTACAGATTCATGACTCCAAATTTTTGTTCAATAATCCTAGCTCAGATGCACTTCATCAGCCAGACAGGAAGTATCCTTCAACACTGACATTTCCCAAGTCCTTTTTTGAGCATAGTGAGAATATGAAGATAATCACATCTACCAGCACATCATACGAAGAATTCTAATGCAGGAACAGTGACTCATGAAGAAAAAAGGAATTTCACAATACAGAAGATAACTATGTAAACTTCCTATAAAAGACCGTCACAGGTTACATTACATAGCATTACATTCCCTGGATCCAGAGTTAGTCAAAATGACTGCAGGATATGGAATATGTGATATAAATACAAAATCACGTATAGTATAGCTGAAGTTTTCCCATAAGAAAGTACACTGTTTATATATGAAATTTATTGTTTCTGGCATGATTCCCAAAATACGGGGTAGTGTCTGTATGGAAATTGTCATGACTGCTAAGATCCAAGAACTTCTGACACGTTGGCTTGAAGGAGAAAGTGAAAGTCTTTTTTATACAGACACCATGACTTTATTCTTGAGGGTACTACTGCCAACACAGAGGGGCACAAGGTGCTGAACCATCTATAGCAGGCACAAGTGTCCAAAAATGTGTGGCCAAAGACTTCCTGTTCCTGTGTAACAATATCACAAAGCATTCTTTGTACTAACCAACCCATCACATTCTCTCAGTCTCACAATGTAATATTTTTACCCCTTTCTGCAAGGAACAGCTGAAGGGATGTCAGTTCAAGGATGCAGTAAATGTTCATGTCATTTTGAAGACTTTGTTACAGGAGGTTCCAATTCCCTGCTCTCATTCTTGGTGTTGAACACAATTCAGAAGTCAGGTATATCACATATTCATTATGTGGACTGAGCATAAGAAATGATAACAATAGGATTTTTCAAGCTCTTTATGTTGTAATAAAGGAGAAAATTAATACTAAAAATTCATATCGCATACTCATATACATACAATGACGATAATCTGATTTTTATGTTTCGTTGAGTACAAAAAAATCAATACTGTAAGTAATGGCACAAATAAATGAATCCAAATGGAAAAAGCATGTATTTCAGTAAAGTGCTTCAGGTCATGCAATTCAACTACATTGCTCCAGTAACACTTTGCCTATAAAGGGCACAACTTCTACCCACAAAACATGAAGACAAGAAAACAAAGGATTTCTCACTTAATTATGTAACTATATGGTATTAATTTATTAATTATAAATCTCTGCCAAGACACTGAGCCTAAACACTGAACGTTCAGATTTCTCTTCACTCTTTCCTAGCAAGAACCACTAAATTCAAGAAATTTCATCAGTACATAAAACATTCTTGTGTTAACAAACACACACCCACTTTCACATAAAACATTTTTATGTTAACCCACACGCCCATTTTCAAACACACAATACTTCATTATGACAACAATTCAGAAACAGGATATTACAGTAGTTTCAGCAAAGTGCTGTGTAAGGATTCTTTGTTAAATTCAAATCACTGGTAAACTTGAAAAATGATTCCAGGCACAAGACCAGCATCCTCTGCAATGCATATTTTAAAGAATATCAAAGAGTATTTTAGGCACAGCACAATTCACGGATTGTATTACATAGCAGAAGAAGATCGTCACTGGACTGAGAGGTATGGAAATTGAATCTTCTAATGTTACATTAACATTAGGCCCAGGATAACAAAGACAGGATAGTGACTGGCTATGGGCTGGACAAATGAGGGTTCAGATCTGGAGTCCCAGTAGGGTCAAGAATTTCCACTTCTCCACCTCGTTCAAACCGGCTCTGGGATACACCCAGGCTCCAGTCGAATGAGTACCAGGGGCTCTTTCCTTGGGCTAAAGCAGTAGGGGCATGTAGCTGATCACTCATCTCCAACTAGTGCCAAGGTCAAGAAAATGTAGATTTATTTAAGCATAGGGAAAACTTTAACTTACTTTACATGAACATTGTAATAACCAATTTATGTGTTTATGTTAATTTGCTACATAAATCTATTCAGTTGGTTTTTTGCATCTCTGTGATATAAGAAGCTACTCCTTGGAAGGAAATTGCTGATTGTATACTATTTTGTTTCACTAACATTTTTGTTCCTAACAATATATATATATATATAACCAACACATATATCTCTTATCATTATCACATCATGACCATAAAATAAGAGGGCTCTTATTTTTATTTTGTTTCAAATTTTACATATTTAATGCCATATCACAATCCCAAGGGGAACTGCCCACCTCAGGTGCAAACCAGTGTTACAATATAAGGCAACCATTATGATCAGTGAATAACAAATTGGAAAGGATGTGGAAAGAAAAGTCATGAGATAATTGGGGGTATTATGTCAGCATCTGCACAAAGAAAGTACAGAAACCCACAGAAAACCTCAATAAGGACAGCCAAATGTGAAGCTAAAGCAGGATTTCTAATTACTTAATCTCAACGTCTGGAGACAGGAAAATTATATAAACTGAATCCATGGTACCTCAGTCAATAAACACTATAGACTGGCAACTGGGGTTTGATTCATGGTAGGACAGGGGTTTTCTTCCCTCACCACCACATCTAAACCAGCTATGGGGCCCAACACACCTTATAGCCAGTGGGTAGCAGTGATTCACCTATATCATTGAGATTAAGAATCTAAGAAGCTTTAACAATAGACAACATCTACTACAAGAGAGGACAACACCATACACTGGTGGAGAGAACAACATACAGACAAGGGACAAAATGCAACAACAGGCTCACGTATAGAAATCCGCAGGCTGCTACAATATAAACATCCATGGAAAGGATCAAAATACATCATCTGGACAAGTGGACAACGCTCTAGTGAGGTGCAAAAGGAATTTTACAACACTTTAAGAAAAAAGAAGGCCGTGCCATAGCTCAAGCGGTTAGTCGCTGGCTTCCCACCACAGTGGCCTGGGTTCAATCCCAGGTCTGGTCAAGTGGGATTTGTGGTGGACAAAGTGGTGCTGGGGCAGGTTTTCTCCAAGTACTTCGGTTTTGATATGTTGGCAACTCTCTAATGTTAAAATATAATGCTAGAGTTGGCAACGTCGTAGTAAACAATTTTTTATAATAGACTGTGCTACATGCGCTGTTCCTAATTTCTCTATTGTTATGTGTTACCATGGTTATGTGTGTGAATATATATAAAACGCTTTTGTGTATCAAAAGTTACTCTTAATAAAGCAGGGTTAGATTGAACACTGATTCTTACTTATCATTCGATCCACGTGGAAGTAACAAAAATAACAGGTTTCCCCTGCCAATCTTCATTATACCAACTGCTCCACAATCACCCTCATCTATCATCTGGGGATGGTAGAATAGGCCAAGAGTGGCCACAGTACAAGGGACTTACAAGAGAATGGTCTGATCTGACATGTTGAAACCTGCCCTGATTTTTTTTTTCACTGCAAGAGTACACACAACAAAATCCACTGTCAAAATTTTAGCTGCTAATACGCACTGCAATTATTTTTTCAAAATTGCTGAACATGGCCAATATTGTAGCCTGCCAGACCCTTGGAGAAATGACCACCCCTAGCAGAGCCAGAGCAGTATGCAATATGCAACACGGCTGTCTCACAGCCCAGGCTGGGGTTGTACAAACCTCTGGTACAAGCGGTTCCCTATACAGAAAAAATGAGTAACTTCGGCAATTTTTAAAAAATACTTGCAGTGTGTATTAGCAGCTAAAATTCTGGCAGCGGATTTTGTTGTGTATATTCTTGCAGTGAAAAAAAAAATCAGGGCAGGTTTTGACATGTAGGATCAGACCATTCCCTTGTTAGTCCCACCCCATTAGCAATAAAAAAAAAAATCTTAAATTTTAATAGAAAGTAGATTACAGCATATGGTAATTCAACTGATGTTAGCCAGATTGTTACTACAACATTAATTTCATGGAATATTGTAGTTACATGTGAAGTGAATGTGTGATATTCAATATACTATAACAGTTTTGGCAAATTAAGATATCTCATGATGACTGGCTGGGGCTGAAACATGTTGTAAAAGGGAAACTGAAACAGAAAGAGTAAAATAGTTACACTGTTGATAGAACTGTATTATCAATATTGCGTGTAAAAGTATGATGCTTTATCTGAAATCCCCTACATAAGTGTAATGACAACTATATCTTAGCTTTTCATAAATCACAGTATACATAGTAACACAAGCATAATAACGGTCATCAAAACAGAAATCCACAATCCACATCAGTACGAAAAATTTTACTATACTTCTCTAAACACATTCATCTACTTAGTTGTTTTCTTGCATATTTTCAATCCACATATACTCCCATACATTATCTGACTTCTCTGTAACAGAGTTTTCTGGACTACTGCTGTGTCCTTATCCTTATGGTGTACAATCATCGTAACTTTATCATCGTACAGAGAATTCAGAGAGCATTCTGTAAGTTTTGTTGTGGAAACAACCTATCTCCACTGGAACACAACATTTCCAGCATTCACAGTCTGTGAAAAGGAAGAAGAAGAGTATATATGGGATCACTTTGAGTAAGTTTTCAAGAATTTAAAACTGTCTAAAATCAAGCTCTCCTGAATGTTTAGCATCGTCAAGACCAGCATGCAATATGAAAAGTGTGCCATGAATTTCTGTTTAATTTATTTTCTGTATTTTACACAGATAGATAGATAGGCTTCTGGTACCTTCCTCCCTGCATGTCTGTGTACTGCTTCACATTAATAATTTCTGAACCAAGCAAATGATTTTTATGAACCATGTATGAATATTATGCCCATACAGGTCACCCCCCTCTTTGTACCTCATAATTTCCCACTATCAATATCACCAACATGGCAGCCTTGCAAAGTTTTAAGTTTGTATATGTATATATACCGCACGCATGTGTGTGTGTGTGTGTGTGTATCAATCAGTTTGCTGACAGTACTACATATCTACAGCTACTCTTGTCTAGCATCCTTCTCCCCCACTTCTCCAAGCTTCCCTCCCCACTTGAACTTGCCAGATGACACCATAAAGTAATTTACTGTTTTATGTACTTAGAAAGAACTACCCAGAGGACACTGACTTCAATTTAGTAAGAGTTCTTAAAGAGATTATATACTACAGAGGCACATGCCATTCATGTGAAGAATGTAAGAAAGGGCTGGACTGCTCAACAATATTCGAGAAGAATTTTGAGGTTTGTATGATGTTCACCAAAAATTAATTTGTAGGCTATTTTATGATGCTGTCGGTAGCTAGACTAGACAGCGTCAAAGGGTAGGATGAGAGATGAATAAGTATGTGGAAAAAAAGCTGTTCTGGTCTAATCATGGTACTATCACAGAATTTCCTTGCAGTGACTGAAGAAAACCACAAAACCTCGGTCAGAATAGCTTGTATTGTGGCCAAGATTAAAATTGAGCATTTCCAGAATGTGAGACAAGAGAACTACCACTATGCCAACCTGTTTGGTTTCAAGCTTTCATTTATAACCTTCATATCTACATTTTATAAGGAGAGCCTTCATGTCTGAATGCATGTTCTAAACGAACAAGTTTTGAAGCAGCGAACTGATGTTGTGTATATCATGTTATCAGAAGCTTCATAACCTTCTTACCTTACAATACTGTACAACCAAAAATAAATGTGGCAACTGCATGAACTTTTGAAAAAGCAATTTTTAAGAACATGGAATTCCTATTATGGTCACAAAAAATAATTAGGTGTTGACATAAAATCTATACTGATATGACCAAATATTGTGATTAGCAATCATGCTTCATGTTTGGGAGGTCCCAAGTTCATCTCAGCCTGAAGGTAGGCTATCTTCACAGAGGATTTTTGTGGTTTCCTTCAGTCCCCACATACAAATGCCATGAAAGTATCTAAAATTATGCCAACCACATCTTCCACACCCTGTACAATTTATTATTCAATAACCATCCTATCATTCAATATTATAATCTGAGTTATAAAATGTGGACACTTTTCCCTAGTGGCTATGAACAATATTAAGTGAAGTAGTTATAAGGGTTCATACTGCTTCCCTGTTGAACTATCTGAGATGATATAAAAAGTGTGCATTTTTTTCAATAAAGAGCAATTAGTAAGGGGATGAATGGTGATGGAAGGATCAAATTTTGTCAGAAACACACCTGATCCACTCACTTGTCCTGTCTGCCTATCAACATACTCACCCATCCATATATACTTATATCCACTTCCTGTCTTTCTTCATCTACACCTATACTTACCTATATCCATCCATCTGTCCAATTAGAGTACACAGGAAGAAAAGTCGATAGCTACATAGCTGAAATAACTGAGTTTTAGGAACGTGAATGTTCATTACTGTGTTTGCAAATGCCCACCAATAGACACTACTCTGAGCCAATCCAATACAGGCGTAATATTACCTTCCCAAATGAGTGATCTTTTCTTTTTGTTGTCTTCCAATTAAAATGTCCATGTATTTTTAACTTCCCTCATGCTTGCTTGCTTACTTACTTTACTTATTCATGGAGTTGAGCCCTTCTTGAGGAGCCGCAAATTCTGCAGCTACTCAAGAATTTCCTAGCATTTTATGGAACCCAAAGGTTTATTAACGTGTTCACAAGAGCCCTCCACTGGTCCCTATCCTGAGCCAGATCAATCCAATTCATCCCATCCTATCGTATCTCTCTAAGATCCATTTTAATATTGTTCACCCACCTATGCCTTGGTCATGGTTTAACTGTCTTAAAAATATTATCCTGTTGCTTCCTCTTTCTTAGCTCTAAATATTCTCCTCAGCATATATTCGCATATAGCTGTAATAGTAACAGCTTTTTGTTGACAGAATTCTGAAAACACTCCACAGATATACTATCTTAACAACTGCACTGAAAATAACATAACTCTTCTATCATTACAGATACCTGCACCATGTGACAAAGTATTTGCTTTTTGCAAATGGAATGACCAACCATTCAACTGCTGTGCTAATTTCTTACCCCTAATATCTGAAACAGGTTCATGCTATACTGTCAACTCCATTCACACAAGGTAAGTTGTTACTTATAGTTCCACGACCATTTAACAACCTACCATAAGAGAAATATCAAGTGTTACACTATAGTAGCCAATATTCTTTCCTCATATTTTCAAGATGTCCTCCCCAGCTGCACCAACTATGTGAGTTAAGATGTGCTGCCACTGTATCATCGGCTTCATTAATCAACACAGCTTGTGAAACAACCATCTTAGATTTCAACGAAATTTTGTTGCCCTATTGAGTCTTTGTGAACGATGAACAGAAACATTTCTCTTACTAACTCACCAGCCAACTTGCTCACCAACCGATCGACCGACCAACCAACTCCAAAAACTCAAGCGCTTCTTGAGAAGTCAACAGCTGCTAAGCCATCCAAGAAATTTACAGCATTTTGTGGAACCCACAGGTTCATTCCCATGTTCACAAGAACTTACCACTGGTCTCTATCCTGAGCCAGATGAATCCAGCCCACACCCCCCATCCTATTTCTCTAAAGTCCAATCTGCATCCAGGTCTTCCTAGTCATCTCCTTCCTTCAGGTTTTCCTACCAGAACCCTGCATGCATGCCTCTTCTCGTTTCTCATTTATTTATTGCATTCAAAGATTGGCACAAGATCACAAGATATAGACCTTGTCACAGAATATACTACCTGTATCATAAGCCATAGCAAAAAGACATACATTTCATAATATGTATATGTATAATATGTATATATTTCATAATATAATGTTGCATATATGCAACAAGCCATCATAAAATAAATGTTGTCAGTTATGTATACAATATCTGTAATTAAAATAAATCTATAAGAACATAAAACCAAATTACAGAATTATATAATAAAACAATATACCAATTAAAAATCTCAATCTATGGTTTAAAACAATCTATTTGTACTTGTTGCTACTAAAACTCTCTTATTCCTCACTTCAGTCAACAGCTTCGAAACAAGTACATCATTTTCATGACTTTCACATTCCTAATTCTCAGTCACAATTATCCAATCATATTGCTAATTATTTGCTCTGTACACAATTGCACAGATGATGTAAACAACGTTTCCTTTATGGAAAAGCAGCGATAAAATTAAAAAATCTAAATCTTTATTTCCAGCAATAATATTCCTCTAAGGTGTAGAAGGAATTTGTGAGAAGAAATCTCTTTAGGGCTGCTCTAAATTTAGAAGTGTCATTTACGAGTTGTTTAAGAGGCAAAGGAAGATGATTTAAAAGTGTAATACCAGTATAACTAATTCCTTTCTGAAATATTGAGAAATTTGCTATTGGAAAATGTAAATCATAATTAAATCTTGTATTAAGCCCATGAACATCTGAATTTGTTTTAAAAAATTCTTTATTGTAAACAAAAAACATAAGCAAAGAAAATACAGATTGTGACTGGAGTGGAAGAATATGTCATTTCTGAAATAAATCACAGCAAGAGTCCCTACTACTAGAACCCGTAATAATTCTTATTATTCTTTCTTGAATTTTAAATATAATTTTACTGTGAGTTGATATGCCGCAAAATATAATACCATACGTTATAACAGTGAATTAATGAGAAATAAACCATCTTTAATGACTCAAGAGATAAGAGTGATATCAAGAGTCTAATTAAATAAGATGCTCCATTTAATTTAGGCATTATTTGTTCAACATGGCAATTCCATGATAAAGTATCATCAATTGTTAATCCTAGAAATTTTATATTATGTACACTAGAAATTTGAATATTCTCATTTATTTATTTATTTATTTATTCACTTCACATCCATGGATCATTATACATGACATAGGACAAGTACGATCTGTTTCATTAGAGTTTTTAGTTACAAATTGAAGGAAAAAAGTTCTTTCCAAATGTAATAATAATAATAATAATTTACTATAAAACCATTTATTTATTTATTTGCAGTATGACAGTGCTTATATTTTTTTCAAAAATTTGAGTGTCAGGATTTGTAATTATCAAACTAGTATCATCAGCATATAAAACTTGATTGGATATATCCGATATTGCATTAGGCCAGTCGTTAACATATAACAGAAATAACAGAGGTCTCTTCCATGCATGCTATATGCCCTGCCCATCTCACACCCTTTAGTCAATAATTCTAATTATATATGGTGTTGAATATTTTCCTTCCGGTGACAAAATCAAAATCATTCAATTTTGAAGTTTTAAGTTTTCCTTAGCTTTTCCCATATTCTGATGCACTAAAATGCTTAGGACTCTCATCCTAACTAATACAGAGCTCATTCTTGTGTGAACTGAAAAAGAGAAGAAGTTTCCTGCTTCTATGTCTATCCCCTATATAAAGGGCATTTCTGAAAAGTCCAAACATAAAGAATCATTATATTAGGATAATGTTAAAAACTATGCCCACTCTTCACTCATGAGAACTATACAAACAGAACACACTGCATCTATAGCATTCCCGTGAATGTGGCAGAAGCCACACTAGTGAAACTGGTGGACCACTAGCCATGCAGTTCTGTGAACAATGGCATAATCTCAGAGTGGGTCTTCTAAAAAATTCATGGCCCAATATGGCTATGAAAAAGCCAGAGGGTAGGTTGTAAGGAAAATGAAAGCAACAGCAGGTATAGGAAATATGCAGAACTGGTCCATATGGCATGTTTCACAAATCTAATCAGCCAACTCTGTTTAGAAATTCCTCCCATATGGATTCCCTTATCAGCAAAGAGACTGGCAATTTAAAGGGTGAGTGCAGTCGACAGATTCTTCGTAGATTATCTATACGAGTTTCATTCTGGGGTTCAAATTTTGTTCTACAGATGACAATAGGAGTAGGCAGATATTGTATAACACAAAAACTGTGATTTTTCTTCTGCACTGGTGTTTGACTTGGTTTGATTGACTTACGGATTTCCAATTCCTTTTCTATCTCAGCTTCAAGTCTTCACATGCACTTCCACAGTTTTTATTGTAAATTTTCCTGTTATCTCCCACTGACAAAAACATGTTCTCAGGTGCACATATATATATAGTTATGATGACTTAAGTTGTTCAGCAAAAGTATGGTGCAATAAATGTGGCACCAACTCAGATAAACAAACCCCTCTTCTTGTCACAGAGAAGATGCCATTTCCAAATACCTAAAAGTCTTGGAAGAAACATAAATTAGGTCATGGGTCCCAATTAGGCTCAAAACTAAGAATGACTGTGCTGGCCAGGACCAACAGAAATTTACTGGACTAGAGTTAGGCTGTCCAGTGTTTGGCATAAGCTCTTTCTAATGGAACCATCAGGGCAGGTGCTTCCCAGCATCTAACACGAGGACAGAAACAGATCCAGTATGAATCCTATGCAAAAACAATTTAACAACATACTGCTGAAGCCAGAACAACCATATTACATACCAAAACCTACTGTTTTACTGAGAACAAATGTATATTGTATAATTTTAAGACTACTTAAATATAATTATAATTTACACATAAGCAATCCCTTTTTTATCATATCTTCACAGGTCACTGACTAGACATGGGGACTGAATTTATTGGACAATTATAACTCGTAAATACAAATAACTACAACTACGGCATATACAAAGTCTTCTGTTTGTCTGTCATCACTAGTCACTGCTAGACAGTTGTTGCAAACAACAACCCAAGACACACCATTAACAGCAGACTCTAGCCTACAACTGACTGTTGATTCTGCCCTGCTCACTGACTGACTGCTGCTGGCCCTCACCAGCACAGTGATTCTTGGTTCTGAGTCCCACAGGATCCATGAACATATTTTACTGTCTCATGGCAGTGGGAGCCTTCAGACTGCTCTCCATCTTTGACCTCACACACAGAATCAGAGTTACTTTACAACTAACGGTTTACTTCCAATCAGTTTGTCTTGGCTCCAAACCCTTGAAACCCACAACTATTATTTTTTTCAGCTGAACTCTTGCAGTCATAGCCCTTATGTAACATCCTCTCTCACAAGAGGATGGATCTGTCATTTACAACTGTTGCTGGTCCTCGCCAGTGCAGTCATCATCAGGTCTGAGTCCTGCAGGACTCATGATCACATTTTGCTGTCTGAGATTCAAGACTCCCCCAACCTGGAGGGCCAGGTCCCTGTATTTACATTCCCCAGGAACAGGGTGGCCCGGTTATACCTCCAGACACTGGGTTCCCTTTCTATCACCTCCTATGACTCAAAGTATCTCACCCCACCTACATACCTCTGGCCTCAGATTTAGAGTTACTTTGTGACTCGTGGTTCACCGCCAATCAGCTCGTCTCGGAGACAAGCCCCTTGAGACCCATGACCAGTAATTTCTTTTTCCAACTAAACACTTGCAGACATAGTCCTTATGTAACATCCTCTCTGACGAGAGGATGGGTCTGTTGTTTACAATTGCTGCTGGCCCTCACCAGTGCAGTCATTCTCAGGTCTCAGTCTCGCGGGACCATGAGCATATTTTACTGCCTCAGATTTGAGACTCCCCCAACCTGGAGGGCCAGGTTCCTTTATTTATATCCCCCAGGAAAAGGGTGGCCTAGTTAAACACCAGAGACTGGGTTCACTGACTTGTAAGTCAAAGTGCCTCTGGCCTGTCCAGTTGGTCCTCGTTATATAACCTCAGCACAGACCACACAGAAAACAGTTTCCTCTGTTGCTGAATCAGCAGTTGCCACAGAAACTTGTTTAAGATGCTAGTGTCTAGCAACAGCAGCATCTACTCATTCCCCGTGGGTCTTCTTGGCCCTTGCAACACAACCACAGTGATCTATTGTGCCTCAGTCTTTATACTAACATAATCATAAAATAAATTATAAAAAAATACCTATGTTATTATATGAAAATTTTCTAATTAACTGAAAGAAAATATAATTACTTCTGTGTTGGAAACAAAAGGTGTATGAGCACATACAGCTTCTAACAGAGTAGGGAACTGGGTACATTTTATGAATTTAAACTTGTACCAAACAGTTTTAAAATTTAAAGGGATTTCAACAAACAAAAATGTAAGTCATGACCAACTGATGACCTTGTAAAGGTCAAAACATGTATCAATTACAAAACACTGTATGTAATGATTGATTGATTGATTTTGTCACTGTAGATCATTGTACATGATATAGGACAAGTCAAGTTAATTCTGAATATTAACAATTTAACATATAATTTAATATATAATATAATATAATGTATAGGCAGTTATGTAAACCCATTAATTATATACATTATATAGAGTTGTCCCTATGCTTAACTAATTAAGCACTATACCATGAAGGCATATTGGGGAGTGGATACACAGATCCACATTTTTCTGCCCTCAGAACTAGCTGGAGGTGGGTGGCAAGCTTCATGCCCCTGCCGCTTTACACCTGGGGAAAGAGCTCCCAATACCCTTTGGATAGGAGGCTAGGTAAACCCCAGGGCCATTATGAACGACTTGGAGAAGAGAAAATTCTTGGTCCTACCAGGACTCAAACTTTGACCCCTCAGGAATCCAGCCCATATCTAGTCACTATACTGACTATGCTAGCACGCCTCCATATTGTGCACTATAATATATGAAATAAACAACACAGTCCTCAGGATGTGTCAAATGCACCAGAAAATTGTAATGGACTTGTAAAGGTAAATATGCAAAATTACAATAGTTTAAATCAGTTCCGACCTTCACAAGTATACTTAATATTGCTAAAGACCAACACAAAAAATTCAATCACTGGTGATATCCAAACCAAACAAATTTGACTGGTACAACCTTTTGATATAAGAGGTGTAAAAAGCAACACAGTACATTTAATAGGTACACGATATACAGAATTAAACAGGCAAATTTTTCCCTATGCTTAATTAATTATGCTTCACAGCTGCAATGTTACACTGAATTAAACAAAGAAAGAACTTTCTTTTAGGCAGTGGCAAATCACATCAACTGGAATCTAATTATGGAATGAAAATTAATTTCACAACCTTATAACACAATTTCATCTACAATACAGCAGTAATACTAACCTCGCCTGATCGTTATTTTGTGATCCCGCGGTTACTGCTATCAGTTGCACTCATTCCAGCCTTCCGATTTTATTCGTAACTAATAGCAATTAATTCTGCAACCAAAAACAGTATATGAAACTCAAAACCCAGACCACGGACCTTTGGGAACACACCAAAGCCGTACACTACATACGTTTCATGCTCGATTAACACAACCGTGAAGACAGTGAATAACGCTCTAGCTCTACAGCTCTACAGGGCCTACAGCGTGCTTCACCTTGCTTTTCGCTAGGCTTGGTGACGTCATTAACCAACTTGCTGTTTTCATCCAGACGCGCCTGTTAATTATGTCCATATATAATTAATGATGTTTCGTTATAACATGTTTATTTACTCATTATTACTAACGAAAATGCAAATGAATTTTTTTTACTGACTTTTAATTTCTTACGAAAACTATTTATGCTTGAAATACTTCTACTTGAGAACAGATTTGCCATGGAACAGACCCAGTACCATTGAAGAACAGCTTGAAGTGACAACCACGCTGTAAACTTCTGTAATATTTATTGTTGCTAGAATGAACGCTTCTGTACTGTCTTCTCGAAGTGTGTTTCCAATTTACATTGCGACCGATGGTCAGCCAGATATTTATTACTTAACAGTTACGGTCTTGTCACACAGAGAGAGAGCAAGGTGACATCACTGGCCCCCTTTTAGTTTTTTTTTTAATAAGGAAAATAGGATAAAAACACAGAAGTTCATTTAAAGGTCAGTAAGGCCGCGCCATAGCTGAAGCGGTTAGTCACTGCTTCCCACCACAGCGGGCCGGGTTCGATCCCAGGTCTGGTCAAGTGGGATTTGTGGTGGACAAAGTGGTGCTGGGGCAGGTATTCTCCGAGTACTTCGGTTTCCCCTGCCAATATTCATTCCACCAATTGCTCCACAATCATCCTCACCTATCATCTGGAGCTGGTACAATAGGCCAGAAGTGGCTGCAGTACATAGGACTTAGTCCCAACCCAATAGCAATAAAAAAAAGGTCAGTAAGGAGGCCGTTCCAGAAATAAATGCAGAGAAGACCATCTGATGATGTTTCAGCACACCAGAATGCAGGACAATACCATAACATAAAAACAGCTAATTGATTCTTTCAGAATGTGTCAAAGTTTAAATATTTTGGCATTAGGATGCAGTGAAGTCAAATGATATGATGCAAAATTAACATTTAAAGTAACTAATGCATGTAAAATGAGACATACAATGCAAATTCTCTTGTGTTTGATTACAGACAAGATTCAAAACAAATAAAAATGATCTCCAGCAGAGAAACAGGACCTGGAACTCTTACAGTTGGAGTTAAAAGGAATGTATGGGTAAGTAAATTTATTCACATTGATTTTAACTAAAGCTGGTTTACACCAACTTAGACTTTGATTACAACTTAAGCAGATATACACATATATGAATTCATTTTGAGGACAGAACTGCAAAAGACATATTCTGTAGAAAGTCTTCAATGGCTTATAAATGTGAGTTTGTAAGCCCCCCTGCCAACCTACATGGTGGCACCCATGACTGTAACTGAATAAAGTGTTAGTTAAAGTGTAATTATCTTGTCATGCTACTGATGTATTTGAATATTACTAAATAAAATGTAGGCTTATAAAAGTTCAGTGTATAACAAATAAAACTTTGGGGGCAGTATTTAATCTCTTAAATTCGAACCTGAAATGTTAAAATGTCTGAAACTTTTCTATTTCTAGTGCTATAAACAATGTTACAGCAACTATGGATGTGGGCTGCGCCATAGCTCAAGTGGTTAGTCACTGGCTTCCCACCATGGAGGCCCGGGTTTGGTCAAGTGGGATCTGTGGTGGACAAAGTGGCGCTGGGGTGGGTTTTCTCCAAGTACTTTGGTTTCCCCTGCCAATCTTCACTCCACCAAATTCTCCATCATCATAATCACCATGGGCAGGCTACAATAGGCCAATCAGTGGCTGCTGTGCCAATTGGACCCAGTTGAACTCCACCCCCCACTAAGCGAATTAAAAACTATGGATGTGACTGCCTTTTGTTAATTACAGGTATTCATGCATTCTTCTTCAGATGTGTTCATATCCATTCATGAGAGTAATAAAAGATGGTCTGTGCTTGGGTATGGTGAGACATGGACTGTGCTGTTTAATGTGAGCATATTGTTACTTTCTTATCTTCACATGATATTTATTATGCCTTACATTGGGTTGGTGTTCACTTTCCTTAGTTTCAAGAAAGTGGAGAAACTGCAAATATATTAAATAACTTCCAACAGTATTATATTTAAGCACCCTGTTGCACTCTATATGATAAATGATATGAACTCCGTCCCAAGTGCAAACAATATATTATATGTCCTTGATCTTGCTCTCCTTTACACTACATGTTTCGGCCTCAAACGGCCATCATCGGGTGTATACACTCACGTTGCTGTTACACTGCACTTAGTTTAAAATTTAACATTTAAAAACACATTGTTCCTTTCGTTGTTATTATCAACATGTAGTAAAGAATAGCAGCGGCACACACATAGGGAGACTATACAAAATAACACCTGTACAGTGCTGGAAACAAGAACTAGCCGCTGCAGCACTATAGACGTAACCCTGATAATTTTAAATTTTAAAATTTAGAGAAAAATTTTAAAGGATTTTAAAATTAGAACTAAAGATTTTATAAGTGCTAATGTGTGTAACAAAAATAATCTATAAACCAGACAGATATCAACGAAGTGATGTTGATAATAACAACGAAAGGAACAATGGGTTTTTAAATGTTAAATTTTAAACTAAATGCAGTGTAACAGCAATGTGAGTGTATACACCTGATGATGGCAGTTTGAGGCCGAAACATGTAGTGTAAAGGAGAGCAAGATCAAGGACATATAATATATTGTTTGCAGTTGGGACGGAGTTCATATCATTTATCGTTTAACTTCCAACAGATGTGGTACTATAAGAAAGAACTAATTTGCTGTCAACTCTATCAGATTTTTCAGCATAATTTGATAATCTGATTTGTAGAACTTTGGTTCTCATGATTAACATTGAAAACGCCATGGCAAGCAGTTGAAAGTCTGTAAAATTAGGAAAATTATTACGTTTGTAACATGTATAGCTAGATAATGGCTCAGTTAAACACATTTCCTAGGTAAATATACTGTTGAAGGAAAGAGAATTGACCAACAGATTAGTTGAATATAGAATATGACAGAAGATGTCATATGCTGCCAGCTTGCCTGTCATATTTACATTTACATTTATTTTCACTTCATGGATCCAATCATCTCTCCATAGGACTGGATATAAACTATGTCACACATTACAAATTCACGATGACTACACATCCGTATCATCAATACAGTTTCATTATAACATAGTAAAATTCATAAAAACACAGACATCATACATACTGCCACACTTACAACAAGCAAGTCTCAACAAAGTATAATACAAGCACACACATCCACTAAACAGTGGAGCTGAATTAGCCATATGGCTCTCATTTATTAATGTATTTCACTCGCAATATATCCAGATTCTTCTTCGTACTTCACTGAGCAAATTTCCATGGTAACAAGGTCAACAATAGAACTTCAGTAACTTAGCAGCAAAGGTACCAATAATTACAAATTGTTACATATTCTGTTACTAACAGCTTCAATCCGTTTGCACACTTGTATAATGTTTTCCGTGTTAAAATACAAGGTGTGGCAATAAAGAAACCGGATTCATGCTCTAACCCTTTATTAAAAAAAATCAGACAGTCGAAATGTTATCCCCTTCAATGTAGTCCCCTCCCCGATCCCTACACCGCTCCATGCGAATTTTCCACTGTTGGAAGCAGTGCTGCAGGTCATCTTGTGTTATGCTCTTCAAGAGTTGCGTCGCTTTTGCTTTCACTGCATCCACGGACTCGAACCTGGTCCCTTTCAGCGCAGACTTGATTTTTGGGAAGAGAAAAAAGTCGCACGGTGCTAGGTCCGGAGAATACGGTGGATGTTCCATCACTGGAATGTTGTTTTTTGCCAAATACCTCTTCACAGATAGCGCGTTGT